ATTAAAGCTGCTATTTAAATAATCGCGGCTTCATTTAAATTTAAATGGCTGCCACGCTCTGCCGACCAGCTGATGATCAGCTCTTTGTCGACAGCAGCACGTCCAGACTGCCCCAATCTGCCGACAAACAGCTGATCGGCAGAGCGCGGCAGTCATTTAAATTTAAATGAAGCCACGATTATTTAAATCTCGGCTTCATTTCCCTCTGCTGATCAGCCTAATCTACATGGCTCCATCGACGGAGCCATGTAGTTTAGACACACCCATAGTGGGTAGAGGGGCAACTGAAGTGTCAGCACTTGATAGCTTCCCAGCCAAACCAGTCAGGATCACCTGTCATAGACTCCAAGATCTACTAGTCGATCCTGATCTACTGGTTGGTGACAACTGCTCTAACTCACTCACTCTTCTCAGCCCATTAGGGTGTGCAGCTCACAAATGAGCTCTCTTCACTTCCTTGTTCTGCCCAAGCATGACAACCACAGAATGATTGGCCTGGGCTATGTTGGGGTCAGTGAACAGCTCAGAGTCTGACTCATTCTTGACTACCCTCATTTATCACCTACTCCACCCCACCAAGGCAGAACTTTAGCTACTCACCCAGATTACTGCTGGGTTGACAGGGCTTCCCCTGAGGAGCTCAGATCCAATTAACATTGCAATGCCAATGACCAAGAGTGAGCTCAAAGAGGGTCCCAGCTGGAGGCTTCCTCACAATGGGGAACCTGCTTGATCCTCCTTCCCCCAGCAATAGCCAGCAGGAAGTCTTAGTAACTGAACAAGAGCTAAGCTATTTGCTGAGCAGTAAAAGCACCTTCCCAAACCACTGTGTACATGGGGAAAGTATGACCAGTCACACACACACAAAATTACTGAAGCCTTAAAGAGATGGTAATCCTACCCCCATGTGGACACTTCTTTTCCACTATGCTTTGCTTTAGCTTATACTCCTTCCCAAGGACACAAGCTACACAAAATCAGCAACTCTTCGGCTACGTCTACACTACGTAGCTATTTTGGGACACTTGCAGTATCCTGAAATAGCTATTCCACATCTTTAGAGCAAGCCTGTTATTTCTAAATATAACGAGCTCGCTATTCCGATGTTCCTGTAAACCTCATTCCATGAGGAGAATGGGACATTTCAGAATAGCACTCTATTTCGAAATTTGGTGCTGTGCATACAGCACCAAATTTCAAAATAAGCTATTTCAAAATTAACGCAAAATAAGTGACACAATTTGTGTAGCTCAAATTGCTTCGTTTATTTCAAGCTCTGGGTACAATACTCTTACTGTGTGACCACTTTTATTCTGGTGTGAGTCATATACATATTATTCTACTGATTTAAATTTTCAACATAGGCTATGCTGAGAAACCTTTCCCATATGGACTAAACCCATAATGGTCAATTCAATCCTCTTCTCAGAAAGTCTTTCACCATCTTTCCAGACGGTTTTTCTTTAAGGCTTCAGGGAGCATTGTGACAGTTGGTAAGGCTCATA